ATATATTGCTTTTCTCATACCTAGTTCTCTCAGTAATGCCTGTCCCTCCTTTGTAGTCCTCCAGCCTCTGTTAATTATGGAAGTTTCCTTTGGTGATGATCATGTATCTTTAATGTCTTCAACTAGCCACCCCATTAAGAGGTGCATTAAGGACTGCTCCCCCCTGCATTTGCCTACATTGAACAGCTTATATGACAAGGACAGATGGGTGGTTATATAACTCAGCTGTGACGCTTCTGAAGGAGCTAGACTGACGTTATTTGCCCCCATGTCCCATACCCTCACGAGCCATGTGGTAAGGGGCTCTTTGATTGCTTGCTTACAAGTTTTTCCTAGTTTTAACAGTTCTGGTGTGGAGTATTTCCTAGCTACAGTACTTCTAGCTTCCTTTCCTTTCTGTATCAAAGGTTGAATCTGAGGGGCAGCCTTAGCCACTTTCACTTTTAGATCGTTTCCTTTTTCCATGATTATCTGTCTTTTTTCCTGAGTCCTTGAACCTTGCACAAGTTAAAATGTCCCTTTTTCTCTCTCTCTCACTTTCTGCAACTGACTCTGCCAGTACCTCCACAGCCTTTCAGCTTCCCCTGCCTTGAGCAAGTCTTTTTATTGTATAAAGTGACCATGCCCCTTCTCTGGGTTCTCTGCTTGTGTCCCAGGCCTGTAAAAGTTAGTCTAGCCTTTCCATAACCTTTAACAAATTTTCATATACCTGCAATTAAGCTACTTCCCCACATTTACAACACAGCTCTGGCCCACACTTCTGCATGGCTGCCCCTTTTTAGTTACATATTTTATAATCCATTGTAAGATCCATGTCAGCACTGCCATTAGCTCCCTTGCTTTTCCCAAACTCCCAGGGTTTGTAGCTAACTCTCTGCAGCCAATGCTGCACAGCAGACCCACCCCTTGGAGGAATAAGTGGCCTCCACAACACACTACCTCAAGAGAACAGCATAAAAGCAAAGGGGAAAAGAAGCATCATGCAATAGAAGACATGACAAGAAGATGGGAGGAATAGTTATCCCCTTCATGAGATACGTACTTACACAGTCCTTCCTTCAAAGCAGTCTCTTACAGACCATCATTGTTAATCTGTTTTTTCCCCTCTTTCCAGCAGCCTTTTTCAGACAAAAAGCAAAACCCTAAGCCTGCTAGCTCTAACATCCTGGGCATACTTACTCTTTCTTCTAAGGAAACCTCACTGCCACACACCCCATACAACTGCTCAGAGACTTCTATTGCTGAACCTGTGTGCTTTTTTGACCCCTAACTTGGAAAGTGTGACTTTCTTTTCTTTTTCTTCTTTTGCCTCCTCTCAACAGCTGTCAAAATCTCTGGTGCACCTGTCCTATTTTGTTTTTCTCCAATGAAATTGTCCTTGAGTTTCCTTCAGAGCCCATTTTTAAAAGTTATTTTTATCTATGAAAATCAGAACCTATAATAGGGGTCCTGTACCTGGGTTCCTGAGGCTTAGAAATGGGAATAGTTTTCTGCCCAGCAGACCTAGTAAGTTGTTTCCTATTCCCATCTCACATCTGTAAACACCATCTATACTGACTAATATACAAGCTCCCATTTGGCTGAAGCTTCTAACGCCTATGGGGACTAAAAGATTTCACATAAATTAGGTGTATTTTCTCATCAAAGAATCTATTTCTCAAGACCCAAATTTAGATTTTTTTATTTCTAAATTGAGATTTCTTATTTTGAGCTGCACATGGTGGCATATGTGTACAGCTGCTAGCATTCAGGAGGCAAGGCAGGATTATGAATTCCAGTCCTTTCTAGACCAAGCCCAGCCTGCGATACATAACAAGACCCTTTCTCAAAGAAAAGAAAACAATTCAAAAGACAAAAAAAGAAAAAAGTCTCATTTTGGCTAATTTAGATCAAAAGATAAACTGTAATAAAGTTTCTTCCAGATCAAAAATTAGCTACCTGCCCATAATATGCTCCATTTGAAAATTGTTCATAATTGTATTCTGGTGCTTCAGCATTATTTCCTAGAAGAAAAAATAATGCATATTACCACATACAGGCATCAACTTTGACAGCATCATAAATGAAAACAAACAGAAAAATCTCAGCTCTTTCTTGAAATTCCTATGTATTGTTATTGAAAGTCATATCATTTCAGTGTTTACTTTCCAATGAAATATACCCAAAATTCTGCATGATTTCTTAAATGGTTTTGAGATAATCAGTTCCCACATTACCACTGGGTGATGCAAAACATCACAGCTGTTATTGTGATTTCTTGGGCTTTCAAACGCCACTTTCATTCCAAAGGCTTGTAACACGGTATGCACAATGAACAGGAAACAGATGTGTCCTAGAGATTTATTCTAATGTTTTGTGTGTATTTACTCCAAATAGTCAAGAATTAAAATACCAGCTTAACGTAATGCAAATTCTTTACAAATATTCTCTTAAATTATCCAGATCGTGGATACATAGACCATAAAACAAAGCATAAAACCTCCAAAGTTAAGTCTCAGCATTTCCATCAAGTATGTGGTGCTTGGTTCATTAAAGGTCAGGTAAATTAGATACATATATTCCTAAAGTGGAAACAAATTAAAATAATAATACATAGAATTCTAATTTAATTATAAAACATCACGTAAGTAATATTTATTACAATTTTTCTGGGCGGCTTTATGAAATTTTATAACTTAAATTTGGAAACATTCTTAAATCTTTGCAAAGAAAGGTAAAAGATAATACCACTTAGAAGTCTATGAAAATGTAAGATCAAGAAAGAAAAAAAAGGGTAAAATCCTGCAAGCACTCATATAGCTGAAGAAGTGTGCATTCTCAGATAACTACAGCTGTGTTTCTGCATTAACCACTGTTACATTGCGGACTATGTACTGAGGGAGGTAGGTGTGTATTTGGGGGGTGGTATATAGACTGTGGGTGTGGGTGTATGTGGAGACCAGATTCCTTCCTCAATTGGTCCCTCTTCATTTGTTTTGATTTGTTTTTGTTTTGTTTTGTTTTTTGGTTTTTTTTGTTTTGCTTTGTTTTATTTTGTTTTTGAGACAAGGTTTCCTAATAAACCTGAAACCCACTGATTTGTCTAGACTGGTTGTCCAACAAGCCATAGGGATTCTCCTGTCCCCACCTCCCTAGTGCTGGAATTACAGGAATGTGCCAACTTCGCTGACTTTTTTTTTTTAACATTTTTTTTAATTTTAAATTTTCTTTTTTACAATTAAAGTTACAGTTTTAACAATATGCAAAATATTACAGTAATTCAGACTTTTTGGCATAATGATTACAGATTTGATAAATACATTTTGTATCTCATAATAGCGATGAGGATTATACAAAAGCTATTAAAACAATTATGAGAATAAATTCTATTGTCACTTAAGTATCTAAAGCTATTTTCCTTTGCGTTCTTCCAGAACGATTTGTTCTTATTCTTTACCTTAATTTGAGGGACTTCAAGAAGATACTTGTTTTTTT